ACAGGTTCATGAAACGTGGTGTCACAGACCACGTGAGAGTAACAGAAGAACATATTAGATGGAAATCACTGTGCACTCTGTCCACTTTCAAAGGGCTTTGTACCAGGATCTGCATTGAATTGTAGTGATATGTGTAAGCAGAACATGACAAAGTTCATAAATGTTGCATAGTTTCATGTCCGACAGAATCTATCCCAAGTTTGTAGCATTCAGTCAGCACCTGCGTGGAAGCCAGACTCAGGTATTGTCATGAACTTCAGCTTTGCACGGTTCCCAGTGCCTGCCACCCAGGACTCAGACTTGACATCAAGTAACTGGCATAGGTCATTTGTGGGGAAGTCTTGGAGGATTCCATAGCCACCCACTGGAGTTACTCTTATTGCAACAAAAGAACACACTGACTAGAACAGGATAATGACTCCGTAAAATAGCCTGTTGTGTGTTGGAAGCTGACATGAGGTAGCTGCAAAAACAAGAAAGAGGAGACTCTGGTAGAAGTAACTAAAAGAACCATGATGAAAAGGGCTGTAATCCAACAGGATTTTTCAACCCTGATTGAAATTGTGTCAGATGTCCCAGCATGACTGTGCTTGGAAAAAGCCATCTGCATTCCAAGGATCCAGCTGGCAGACTATTCAAATCACAGTTTAATCCAACTTCAAACCAAGGAATGAGTGGAAAATTGCCTCACATACTTGAGATGATGGCTAGGAGTGCTATGTCCTTAGGCCAGGACAGATGTCAGTCCTGCCTTGGTGTTATCCTTAGCCACAAATGTGAACTGGTCAGTCATTGTCACGCATCAAAATGTGTCCTGTTCTGTTTCGAGCCCTTTTAGATGTCAAAGAAGTGACTTACTTTTACCAAGATGTTTGCCTTCATGAGTATTTTGTTAAGGTTTTGTGGCCTGAAAATAGATTGCTTATATTAACATGAAAGAAAATGAAAAAATATGCATTATATTCTCACCAAATAATATATAATTGGGACTTAAAAACCAAATAAGCATTATTAAATTCTTCTCCTTACAGTGGAGAATGTACACAAACACTCCTGTCTTTATTTTTACTTTTTAAAGTTCTCTTTCTTATTCCATTTTCACATATGTGTAGGCACCTATGCTTGTATGTATGTGTACATGTGTGGAGTAGGCATATATTTTGGAATCTGTACATTTGGAGGCCAAAGATTGATATCAAGAACTATCCACTATTGTTCTATTGCTGTTCTACCTTCTTCGTTGAGTCGGGGTCTTTCAGTCAAAGCCAGAGCTCACTGATATAACTAGTGGAGTTAGTAACTTGCTTTGACAATCCCTTTCCTTTGTCTTCCAAGGCTGGCGACCACAGGCAGGCTACCACACCCAGTTGGTTTTAAGTGGTTTTCTGGGGATGCATTCTCTGATCCTCACACTTGCCCATCAGCCACTTTTAACTGCTGAGTCATCTCACTAGCCCCTATAAATGCTGGCAAACACCTATAAAAATAAAATAAAAAATAAATCTCAATTAAGAAAAACTGAATCTGTTTAGTCAGTTGGAATCTATGCTCTGTAGTTCTAAAATATTAACTGCTGTAGAACCAAATCATGAGGCTCTGCTGAGATCTTGGAACATACTAATATTTAGTAAACCAATGCTCCATGTCTGTATTAGTTGTGTCAGTGAGCTTAGCTTTCCATCACCAACAAATAACTAAGAAAATCAGCATATAAAGAGAAAAGCTTTATTTTCTATCATGAATTGTGGCCTGGTTAGGCACAGCCTAAATTCATCTGAGAGGAGAAAATCTCAATGGACTTGCCTAGATCAGGTTGGTATGTTTGTGGGGAATAGGGAATTCATGTCTGAGGGCCCAGTCCACTGTGGGTAGCACTATTCCCACAGAAAAGCCAATGAATAAGTTATATAAGTTAGCAAATACCACCTTTCCTTTTTGATTTCTTCCTCATGTTCTTTCCCTGAATTCCCACAGTGGTTGATTGGGGCCTAGAGGTACAGGTCAAAAAAATCTTATCCTTCCCCAAGCTGCTCTGGTAATTGATTTATCACAGTTATAGGAGACCGGAACTATTTGAAAGTCCTGTTGCTTCAGGCCCTGTGAAGAAACAGGGTGCTTACCTAACTAGGCTGTGGTCTACTGTGCAACCTAGGGCACGCTGCCAAAGTTCTGAAGAACTCCCTATAGATTCCAGCACCTTCTAGTGACAATTAGAGCTGTACTCTAATAACTCTGTGGGACACTGGCTGTTACAATAATGTCACAGTGGTAACTGTCTTAATGCTTGTATTGTCTTTATACATGGCTAAATTACCATAATCATATTAAAGATAAAGGAGAGAGTTATATAATACATCAAGGTTCACAGAGCTGGACACTGAAGAACTAAGATTTAAATCCAGGAAGTTTAGCTACACAGTTTTCTGTTTTAACTAAGATATTCACACCTTGTTGTATATTTTACTTTAGAACAGATACCATCTTGTCTCAGGCTCTCTGTCCAGCGCCTTGCTGAAAATTCCTGCTGGAGCCACAGAACTTTTCTATTCCAAGTGAAATTCATCAAAGAGGTAGCCTTAAGTTGAATTCTTTATCAATGCTAGAAACAAGAACCTATGGAACCTTTCTGATGGAAATGTAACCAAAAGCAAGATGAAAGAGAGAAGACAAGCCAACTGAATGCCATAAGGAGACAAAGAAGGACAGAAAAAGGACAGAGAGTTTGGGAGGGAAGTAAGCAAGAGAAATAGATATAGAGAAGAAAGTGCTGGGGGAGAGAGAAAAGGTAGGGAAAAGAAAAGGGGGGAAATAAGAATAAATCTGTGTATATGGTAAGTGTAAATCTTTCCAATCTGAAGCTTGTCTATTTCTAATTAGAAGTAGCTTCCGAGCTGCGGCATCAACCCTGTTCACTCCAGCTCAAATGATGCTTTTGTTATTTTTTGACATTATAGATTTCTTTGACTCTAATAACACGTTTGGGGCCAATTTCAGGGCTGCTTCCTAAAACAGTTGCTTCCTCTTTAACAGGCTCAGATTACATAACGTCAGTTGCAGCCACCATGTGTTACAAATGTGTTTTACTCGACAAGGTTCTGAAGCAGAATCATGAACCTATTCACAATAGATATCCAGAGAGACCTTCCCTGGGGGACAGTGAAAAGCCCGATGCAGCCTGCCAGAAAGGGCTTGATGCCCGCTGCAGCCTCTGCCCCCTTCCTGTACTTCACAGGATCAGGTTTTCGTACTTTGAATTTTTATCCACATATAGGAGTTTTTAAATGACCTGTGCTGGATAAGTTTTTGTCAGCTTGACACAAGCTGCAGTCTTCTGGGAAAGGAGGACCAAATTGAGAAAATGCTTCCAGCAGACTTGCCTACAGGCCAGTCGGCTGGAAGCATTTTCTTGATAAATGATACTTTGGGAGGGCCCAGCCCACTGTGTGTGATGTCACACCTGGGCACGTAGTCCTGGGTTATTTGAAAGATCAAGCTGAGGAAGGTATGGTGAGCATACCACACCAGTAAGCGTCCAATAAGATCTAGCTGTAAGGCATTTTCTCAATTAGTGGTCAATGGGGAAGGGGTATAGCCCATGTTGGGTGTTGCTATCCCTGGGCTGCTGGTTCTGGGTTCCATAATAAAGCAGGTTGAGCAAGCCAGGGGAAGCAAGCTAGTAAACAGCAGCCCCCATGGCCTCTGCATCAGCTCCTGCCTTAAGGTTCCTGCCCTGTTTCAGTTCCTGTCCTGACTTCCTTCAGTGATGAGTAGTGATGTGGAAGTGTAAGTCAAACAAGCCCTTTCCTCCTCAACTTGCTTTATGGTCATGGTGTTTCATTCCAGAAATAGAAATCCCAACTAAGACACAATTCTTCTATGGTCTTTGCTTGATTTCCTGCCTTGAGTTCCCTCTATGATGTACTATATACTGTAAACTGAAGTTCCTCCCTGAGTTACCTTTGGTCATGGTGTTTATCATAACAATAGAAAGCTTAGGTATAACCATGTACATTTTTATGACCCCATTAGCTTACCTTTCTTCTTTACTAAAATGTTGAATAGAGATGGTTATAATTTGTAATAAACAGAGCTGAATGCTGGCCTTCAAAATAAGATGGATGAATTATACAAAGGAAAAGAAAGACAATAGTTGTGTGTGTGTGTGTGTGTGTGAAAGAGAGAGAGAGAGAGAGAGAGAGAGAGAGAGAATTTGAATGTTTTCCAGATGAACTACTGAAAGTAATTAACTGAAAATATGTATTTTCAAACATATTACCCTTTATTCAAAGTTTAGATGAAGAGTGTTTTGAAAAGCATAAATGAAAGGGTCTTAAGCACCTCACTATTCTCCAGCCAAAGGAAAGAATCTTTACTGCCTATTTCAGCTGCTGGTGGTTCCATCAGACATTCTTGGCCTTGTAGCTGTAACACTACAATTCCTGTTTAATCTTCAAAGTATCTTCCTCTTGTCTTTCCTTGTAAAATTTATTTTTATAAAGATACTACTGTAGAATTTTATAAAGATAATACTATACCTCATATTAATCCAACATAACCTTATCACAAGTTACCACCACTACACAGATATCTGCTAACACCCTTATTCCGAATGAAACCTTGTTCTGAGCTTTTGGGATCCATATATTCTTGCAACTTAGTTGAACCCACTTCCAAAAACATTCTTGCTTCTTGGTTGCATTTACCTCAAAGTGTCATCATTCCTTGCAGTCACATGTAAAAGTGCTGCCTCTAGACATTTTTGTGGTACATATACACATACATGGGTCCTGTTTATCTGCAGAGTTTGGATTTGAAGTCTTCTCTAAAGGGTCGCAGGCTAAAGGCTTGTTACAGAGCCCGTGGTACTGTTAAGAAGTGGTGGGATCTTTAAAGGGCAGGACCTAGTGGCAAGAGATTACTGGAGGTGTTCTAGAAGGGTATATTATGACCTCAGCACCTTCCTTTCTGTCTTTGTTGCCTAGATACTGTAAACTGTGCAGCTTTGCTCCACCACACACTGCCCATCATCATGGTTCTGCAGACCTCAAGGCAACAGATGAGCTGAATGTGGGCTGAATCCTCCAAAACTGTAAGTTGAAATAAATGTTTTGTCTTCTGTGACTCATATAGGGTACTTCTTCAGTACCCAAAAGTTGACTGGGACAGTATCACTGCACATATGTAGTAACATTAAAAGTTGATAACCGAGACAAGCATGGAGGTTCATACTATGGCTCCATCTCTCAAGAGACTGACACTGAATGATTGTCACGAGTTCAAGGCCATCCTGTGCCGCACAAAGAATTCAAGCCTAAGCATTCTCCTTTCTGGAGAAAAACTGGCCATTCAATATTAGTTCTCATATTATTTTTAATTAATTTTATGTGTATATGTAGAATATCTACGCACATACATATATCATCAGGCAAGAACTGGAGTTACAGTTGGGTATGACATACCGTTTTGGTACTGGGAACTGAATTCTAGTCCTCTGCCCAGAGTAGAAAGTAGGTGTTCTTAACCACTGGGCAAAACTCACCAGGCCTATCACATTATTTTTTTAAAGGTGTCAAGAAATCTCTACTTGGACATGATTATGGAACTGATCCAACTGTTATATGATGTCATCTTTGGCTTGTAGATATTTGGCACTCAAAAAATTTCCACTTTGGGACATAATGCACAGGAATTCCTTAACTCATTTTCTAAAGCTCAGGTTAGAATTTATTATACCAGACATTCAATATTTAGAGTTTAATGCCGCAGGGCGATTGGTAATGAAAAATCCCCAGACTATCTTAATACAAAGTATACAGCTTACACCAGAATTCAAATGATCCATCCAGGCACAAGAGCCAGGTGAAAGACAGCTAGTGGAGCGCCTTGCTAGTTTTATAGGCAGGCTTTAGCCTGAGGGCGGCACGCCCCAAAAACAGAATGTGATTGGTTGAACTCCCCTATCATCTCCCCCTTTTTTTCTAAAATAAGACAGGACCAAACCAAATACAACTATATACAATAGAAGCAAATAATAAATATAAAGTTACAAACAACAAACAATGTTAAGCAAGAAACATATAACAAAAGTTCTGCTAAATAATGTAGATGGTAACTACAACTATCTATTCTTCAACTCCATCAAATATCTGAGAAGGAAAATAATTTTACTCAAGCAGCCCGAAAGTACAAGCGGGAAACTTCCGAAATGTGCAACGAATGGAAGAGATAACTGAATACCTGGTCAAAGTCTCATATGCAATGTTGAGTTAACCAACTTTGGCTAAGGCCTTATGTAACTGACATGGCATTTTTCAAAGGCAAGAAACCTTTTAGGACTCTCTCACCCTTTCTTGGCAAGATAAGACAATCCTGCTTTTATCCATTTAGGATATTCTGTAATTCTGTCAGTGGTTGAGGTATGGGCTTTTTCTTTGCCCAAAGGCCATTTCTGCCAGGAAGAAGACAAGCTCCATGTGGAGTGTCTTTGGTGCTCAACGTTCTCTCGGGAGTAGAGCGGTGATGCCAGGAGCGATTGTGTCTCACTACTATAGAACTATGAGTTAGATTAAAGGCCATTTTTCACAGCTCTTTGAAGAGGTTGAAGATTATACTATCTATACTAAGTATGATCTCTATGCATCTAAATAACCTGATTAGCCTAAATATAAATATAATAAACATATATGACTATTGATTTCTATCTATCTAACTTGAAGACTAAGAGAATGAACAACTGTGCAATGAGTGAGGACAATGACCCCCAAATGTAAACAATGTATATCATTACATAAATATCTTAATCAGTGGTTGGAATGTAAATATATATATATATTAATACAAATAGAGGTAGAAGCATGCTCACATACAATATTTAATATATCAATATACAAAAATCAACACCAATACAATTTTCTAAAAACAATAACTCACAAATACCAATATATTATTATCCCATCACCAATCAATCCCTTTTTTTTTGATAAACACCCCTGAGTTTATAAAATACCTCCCCCAGTCCCTCATCCCTATATCAATTATAACCAACCCCTAAATGATGTCCCTAAACCTGAAGGCAAATTCTACTGGGAGAGGGGACATTGTGCTCTAAAATTGCTTCCAGCTGTCATGGGGGCGACGTTTCTCTTAGGGGGGTCCTGTGAAAACAATTGATGGTAAAATTCCCATATAAACATTTTGTGTGAGAGACTTGTAAATAGTCTCTGAATAAGTTGAGGAGGTCTGGCCAGAGTGTTGTCAAATATTGTGCATCATCCGGAACTGTTTTGTGTAGCTGGTACCAAAAAACAGGTCTAAAAAATAGCGCTATCAACATTATGATGTCATAGTAACCAGGTGGAGTTGATGTTGTGGGGCCCCATCTTCATCCTAGAAGCTTTAAAGATTACTGCAGGAAAATTTATTGTTTGTCATGGGAAAGTTAAACATTATCTACGAAGACATATACAGACATATATATATATTATATAATATAGACATATATTAATATATATATATTAATAAAGATAGAAACAGATGTGGGGAAAGACAAAGAAAATTTATCAATTATAGTTATTCTGTCCCGTATCTTGGCTCTTGACATGAGACAGAAACTCTGGGATATCTCTTATCAACAGGCTTGGAAATGAAGAGGGACTGAGCCGTTGTCCAACTCCAAAACCAGCTCTACATATTTATAAATAAATGCACATTAGTACATATTAAAATAAATAGTAATGCTTACCTAAACTATTTGGATTCATTGTTGATCCACTTTTGGTCATAGGCTGTTTCTATATTCAATTATCCAGGGTCCCTTGGATCCTTTGAAAATGAGCCTTCTCCTGTGGAGACAAGAAGAGAACCCTGCCCCCAACCTTTATATTTCTCTTACCTTTGGTGTGATTATTATCCTTGTAAGTGAGTTATCATTTATCTTTTCCAAGAGGCTTCTCCTCTTTAAACTGAACCTTTATTAATTTTGATGGTATCCACAATTTTTCCTCTCCTGTGGAAACAAGAGCAAAACCCCTTTCCCAATGCAGCACATCTCCTGGCTTCCACTGTGAGGTCAGCACATCCTTGAAATAAATTGGTTGATTTAATTCAGCAGACTTTTCCAATATCCAATGTCTTTCTGCAGCCATTGTCCCCTTCTCATTAGCACTGAGAAAATTCAAGGTTAATAAAGCATTATGTAACCTATTCCTGGGGGTATTTTCCACCCCTTTCTGTTTGTTCAACGTATCTTTTATAGTTCGATTTGATCTTTCTATAACTGCTTGACCTGTAGGATTGTATGGTATACCTGTAACATGCTTAATATTATAATAAGCAAAAAATCGTTTCATTTTCCTAGAAACATAAGCTGGACCATTATCCTTCTTTATCTGTGTAGGTATACCCATGATGGCCATAACTTCTAATAAATGAGTGATTACTGAATCAGCTTTCTCTGAGCTTAAAGCAGTTGCCCATTGGAAACCTGAATACGTGTCAATGGTGTGATGTACATATTTTAATTTGCCAAATTCTGGAAAGTAAAACACATCCATCTGCCAAATTTCATTCCTTTTAATACCCTTTGGATTAGTCCCTGCAGGCAATGGTGTTTTGTTATAAAAAGAGCAAGTAGGGCATTTCTTTACAGTCTCCTTAGCTTGTTGCCATGTAATAGAAAACTCTTTTTTAAGCCTTTGCTATTGACATGATGCTTTTTATGAAATTCAGCTGCCTGCAGCACACTACCAATCAATAAGTGATCAATATCTGCATTACCTTGTGCTAGAGGATCTGGCAGACCCATATGGGATTGGATGTGTGTTATATACATAGGGCAAAGCCTGTTCCTAATCATGTCTTGTACCTGGATAAACAATGAGGTCAGTTCTGTATCATCAGGTATAAATTCAGCAGTTTCAATATACAAGATAACTCTTTCTGCATATTGTGAGTCAGTAATTATATTAATAGGTTCTTTAAAATCCCTTAGCACCATAAAAATGTCATATAATTCTTCCTTCTGGACAGAATCATAAGGACTTTGTTCCACTTTACTCAATTCTTCTGATTTGTAACCTGCTTTCCCTGATTTATTAGCATCAGTATAAAATGTATGGGCTCCGGTTATTGGAGCATCACAGACAATTTGAGGAAGGATCCCAGAAGTTCTCTTTATAAAATTAAGTCTCTTGCTTTTTGGGTAACTGTTATTGATTTCTCCCAAAAAATTAGCACAAGCTCTTTGCCATGGTTCATTGTCTTCCCACAACTTTTTTATCTCATCAGCAGTGAAAGGCACTATAATTTCTGTTGGGTCTATACCTGCTAATTGATGAAGTCTCAATTTTCCTTTTATAATCAATTCAGAGACTTTTTCCACATAAGTTTTTAATTTTTTACTTGGTTTGTATGGCAAAAAGATCCATTCCAAGATAATATCGTCTCTTTGCATCAAAATTCCTATAAGAGAAATTCTGGAAGGCAATATAACGAGAATGCAACTAAGCTTTGGATTTACCCTGTCCACATGAGCCTCCTGTAATTTTTCCAGGTACTGTGTGTGCTCAGGCTGCTCGGCCCGCACCACGAGGTGGGAAAAGGCCCCATGTTCGGGCGCCAAATTATGCCGCAGGGCGATTGGTAATGAAAAATCCCCAGACTATCTTAATACAAAATATACAGCTTACACCAGAATTCAAACAATCCGTCCAGGCACAGGAGCCAGGCGAAAGAGAGCTAGCGGAGCGCGCTTGCTAGGTTTATAGGCAGGCTTTAGCCTGAGGGCGGCACACCCCAAAAATAGAATGTGATTGGTTGAACTCCCCCATCAAGAGTTAGTCCACAGTGACACCATCTGCTATACATGCTTTTAACTGTAACATTTTACCATATTTTCTTCAGTAATTATCGTGGACTGAATGTGTCCTGTAATCCAAGTTTTTGTGTTGATGTCTTAATTAGAAAACTGATGGGACTTTGGTGTCAGCCCTTGTGGAGATAATCAGTTATGAGTGTGTATTTCTTGTGATGTAATTAGTACCTGACAGAGGCAACTTCAGGCCAGTCTGGCATGGTGGCTCATGTTGGTAA